TCCTCCTCCTCCTCCTCCTCCTCCTCCTCCGCCCGCGTCCTTCTCCTCGTCCCCCTTTCTGCTCCTCGCCCTCCTCACCCACGCCTCCTGCTGCTCCTCCTCCTCCTCCTCCTCCTGCCCTCCCCGCGTCGCGGGAGCTGGAGCACGAGCTCCAAAGGCGGGAGGCGGCGCCCGCGGCTTGCCCCCGACCACTGCTGCTGCGCCGCCCTGGTCTTCCTTTCGTTGCCGTTTTGGCTCTGCAGTCGAGGCGCTGCCATCAGGAACCCTAACTGAGCAACGAGGCCCGTTTCTCCTAAGTACTCTGACCTCCCAGGGAAAACCGACAGGGCAGTCTTTAATACATGGGATGTTTAAACATATGGGATTTTAATGTATGGTTGATGTATGAGTAAATGTATGCATGCACTCATCGTTGTTGCTAGTATGTACTGAACCCCTGCATGTTTGTATACATGATCCGCACGCGGAGCATGTATAGAAACAGGGCACTGTAAGGACAACCCAAGACACACTGTACACCACTTAAGGAACAACTGAGCCCCTCCACAACGAAAAGGGTTGCTTCTTCATCGGCCCGACTGTAGGCTAAACGTGTGGAAGCTTCAATGCAGCGAGGAACCTGATTGGCCGTGGGCCCGTCCTGCGCTGGACGGCTCAAGGTCAGGAGAGGATCTCTGCCCTCATCGCTCTTCGGGGCATAAGCCCAGCACGGAGCGGCATCTCGGGGCGTCGTCTAGGCTCCGACGACATACCTCGTTTGTCAGCAGTCCCGAGCTGGCGTTTGGGATTTTTCGAATAAAGCGCGATACTGCAAGTTATATGGTCCTATTTTCCCTGGGCGTGGTGGTGGTAAGCATGGGGATCGTACCAGGAATGCCCAGGCAGATCGAGACAAAGGATGTGTCCTCCTTCGCCCTTGTCCCCACCCTCTCTATCAATGCCACCTTACTGCCTTCATCCTGCTCAATCCCCGCCCCATCACCATGCTCACACACCTGCCCTCATCGACTCCCTTCCCCCCCTTCCCCGACCCCACCTCTTTCTACCATCGTCCTCATCATCAGAATCACCGTCGGTATCATCACCATCACCATCCGCCATCGTCATCGCCATCGTCCCCGTCATCGCCAGTGGCATTGCCAGTGTCACAATCGAGGTCGTCTTCATCCCCCCCTAATCGTCACCAGCATCGGTCTCATCATCAGCATCAGCAGCATCAGCAGCATCAGCACCAACAGCAGCACTCCTACCACTACCACCACCATCACCATCATCATCAACATCCTCATCGTCATCCTCATCCTCCTCCACGTCATCATCCTCAGCATCATCATCAGCAGCATCGTGAGCATCATCACCACCACCAACAACAACATGACCATCGCCATCGGCATCGTCATCGTCATCGTCATCGTATTCGTCCTCATCGCCAGCATCAACAACATCAGCCTCGTCATCATCGGTTCCGTCATCACCATCAGCAACATCCGCAGCATTACCGCTATCCCCATCCTTACCATCATTGGCATCATCATCATAATCAGAGCTATCGTCAGCATCACGCTCGTCGTCATCACCATCACTGCCAGCAGTATAATCGACAGCAGCAGTTTCATCACCAGTGCCATTGACGGCATCATCATCATCAGCATCACAATAAGCAGCAGCATTATCACCATCACCAGCATCAGCATCATCATCGTCATCAGCAGAATCATCATCAACATCATGATCAGAATCAGCATCATCAGCATCATCAGCATCATCAGCGGTATCAGCATCGGTATCAGCATCGTTACCATCATCAGCATTATCATAATCGACATCATCAGCATGATCATCATCAGCATGATCATCATCAGCATCATCAAATTCATCCTCATCATACTCCTCATCATAATCATCCTCATCCTCATCCTCAAGATCATCATCATCGTCGTCATCAACATCGTCGTCGTCATCGTCTTCCTCCCCCCCTCCAGCCCATCCTCCAACCCTCATTCCACTGCAGCTTCTACCGCTCCCCCCCCAGGGACAACGACCTCCTCCCCCCCTCTTCCCCCCCTCACGAAGACCTCCTCTCTCCTCCTCCTCTATCCCTCCCCCCCTTCTGGACGAAGACCTGGACGGCTTCCCCCTCGTGGGCCACGTCCTCCACCATCTGCAGCAGCAGCTGGCACGCGGCAGACCGGACGCCCGCGTCATTGTCGCTGAGGCAGGACTGGAACATAGCGGTCGCCTCCACGAGAAGAGGGAGGAGGAGGAGGAGGAGGAGGAGGAGGAGGAGGAGAAGGAGGAGGAGGAGGAGGAGCAGGAGGAGGAGGACGCGACGAGAAAGCGCGAGGGGGGGGGTATGTCCATATCCACCGCCTGTGGGACCGACGTCCTGGGACCAGAGGGTGCGGTGGACGCTGCTACAGTGTGGCCCCTGGGGGTGTAAGACCACATCCGTGTCCACCGCCTGCCGTGGCCCCCGAAGATCGGTCCCCCTGGCGGCGGTTATGGATGAGTCCCCGCATCGGAGGAAGGGAGTGGCGAAACATGATCGGGTCGGACGAAAGGCGGGGATGGCAAAAGGAGGGTGCATGATCGGCTCACGTAGCCGGTTTTCCCGGCACCTCATGGCGCTGGAGGGGCCCATGCATCCGAGAAAGCGCCCGGCGGCGGGGCGGAATCCAGCTGCATGCAACAGCTGTCGTACCCCCCTTTCACTAACTCCCCTGTCCTCGGCCCCGAGATGACGGGGATAGAGAGGAGGAGGCGGAGGAGGAGGAAGAAGAGGAGGTGTAAAAGTAGCTGGGCGCTTACAGGGTCAAACTCAACGATGTGCGGATCACGCATTGAGACGACCGTGGTACGTGAACGGTTGGCCCATCACTGCGTGGCGGTGCTGCCGCGCGCCGAACGCTGCTGTAAAAGAGGCAGCCCAGCACAGTGCACGTACGGGCGTGCTCGGGCTCGAACCGTGCGGCAGGTAGGAGCAGCAGCGCGCGAGCCCAACCGAAGCAGACCAGCGGATCGGATGGGAGGGGTGGCCGAACGAGCGAGCGAGGTGGTGCGAGCGGCGGCAAGGTACTGCAGGCAACTTCAGAAGCCTGGCCGGGGACTTGTCCGAAACAGCTGGGCATGGCTGTGGGCTTTCTCCTCCGACCCTCGCCTCAACAAGCATCTCCACCCTGTCGCACCACCCTCTCTCTCCTCTCCTCCTCTCCTCTCCTCCTCTCCTCTCTCTCCTCTCTCCTCCTCTCCTCCTTCCCTCCTCCTCCTGTGGGCTCCTCTCCTCCTCTCCTCCCCTCCCCTCCTTCCCTCCTCTCCTCCTCTCCTCCTTCCCTCCTCCCCTCCAGTGGGCTTCCTCCTCTCTCCTCCTCTCTTCCTTCCCTTTCGGACCCTCTCGGCGGAACCGAGGAATTGGCAGCGCCTCAAGTTGAACCCGAGAGCCAACTGCTGGCCGACGAAGCGTCCGCTCTTCAGATGACCACCCGAAGCGAAAGTACATGTTATCCCGGCGAGAGACCCAACCATATGCAGTTATGCATACCGCGATTGTGTGTTTGGCCTTAGCTGGAACTCCCTTTGGGGCAACGAAACGTGTGAGGGGTGCGCCCAAATGGGCGCGGCGGTGCCATGCGGGCGCTGCCACTGGGGCCTTCGGTGGATTTCGCGATGGGGTCAAGAAACGTGTGAGGGATGAGCACAAACGGGAGCGGCGATGCCTTGCGGGGCGCTGCCACTGGCGCCTTCGGTGGAGCTTGTGATAGGGCCACTGAGGGGTGCGCCGAAACAGGAACTGCGGTGCCATGCGGGGCGCTGCCACTGGGGCCATAGATGGAGCTCCCTATGGGGCCACGAAGCGTGCGATGGGTGCGCCGAAATGGTCGTGCGGAGGGCCGAGGGAAGAAGGAGAGGATGAAGGAGACGCGGGGCACTGTCTCTTCAAAGCGAGGACCCAACATCACAGGATGGTTGGGAAACAAGATCCCCCTCACCTCCCTCATCTTCCTCCTTCTCCTCTTCTTCCTCTTACTCCTCCCTCCTCCCTCCCTCCCTCTCGGCCAGTCGCGTGGATGGCGCACCCGCTGGCACCCAGTGCGCCCCGGGCCAGCCTTGTCTGGAGGCAGGCCCCGGGTTGCGACGCCAGCCGAAAACTGCCCGCGCTCTCTGTGCCGGCCAGCCGGAGCGCAAGGAGCAGGGGAGGGGGGGGAAGAAAGGGAGTGGCAGAAGAAGGCGGAGGCGAAATGCAAGGCGCGCGCGGCAGCAAGAAGGGCGAGAGTAGGTCTTGGTCGTGAAGTTTGACACTACGCTATGACACTACGCTAACTTCACGCTTTCCGTAGCGTAGTGTCATAGCGTAGTGTCACGCCCAGGTGCCCCCAACACTACGCTATGACATTACGCCAACCGAAGCGTAGTGTCATGGCGTAGTGTCACGCCCATGTGTCCCCAACACTACGCTATGACACGCTAGCCGTAGCGTAGTGTCATAGCGTAGTGTCACGCCCAGGTGTCCCCAACACTACTTTATGACACTACGCTAACCGTAGCGAAGTGTCCTGGCGTAGTGTCACGCCCAGGTGCCCCCAACACAACTCTATGACACTACGCCAACCGCAGCGCAAAATCCTCTGTCACGGAGCAAAGTCCAGCGAGGTAAAACCCTAAGGAACAATTATCCCAGTGCGACCCTACCTAGGAGTTGGAACCCCTAGGAAAGCAGCATTAGTAGTAACAGTAACGCTAAACTGAAGCTAAGCTAAAGCTAAGCTAAAGCCAAGCCACAGCTAAGCCACAGCTAAGCTAAAGCTAAGCTAAAGCTAAGCTAAAACTAAGCTAACGCTAAGCTAAAGCTAAGCTAAAGCTGAGCAGCAGCTAAGCTAAAGCTAAGCTACAGCTAAGCTAAATATAAGCTAAATCTAAGCTAAAGCAAAGCTAAGCTAAAGCTAAGCTAAAGCTCAGCTCAAGCTGAGCTAAAGCTAAGCTACAGCTAAGCTCAAGCTAAGCTAAAGCTAAGCTAAAGCTAAGCTAAAGCTAAGCTAAACGCTAAGCGAAAAAACTAAGCGAAACGCTAAGCTAAAGCTAAGCTACAGCTAAGCTAAAGCTAAGCTAAAGCTAAGCTAAAGCTAAAGCTAAAGCTCCCAGGGGACTGGGGGGAACCGCTCCCAGGGGACTGGGGGAACCGCCCGGGGCGTGTAGCACTGCCCGGCCCCTTTAAGCTAAGAGAGTAAAAACCCTTCTAGGCAGAGCCTAGGTAGGGAACAAAGCCAAACAACAACAGACACAGTCTCTCTCTTCCCTCCGACCCAAAATGTCATAGCGTAGTGTCACGCCCAGGTGCCCCCAACACTACGCTATGACACTACGCTAACGGTAGCGTAGTGTCCTCTCTCACGGACCAGAGTCAAGCAAAACCCGGAAGAAAGGCAAACGGAACAAAAAACGACTCCTTTTCCCCCCGCCTCAACCGCAGCGTAGTGTCATAGCGTAGTGTCACGCCTGAGTGTCCCCAACACTACGCTATGATACTACGCTACCGGTGGCGTGGAGCCCTCTCTCACGGAGCAGATTCAAGCTAAACCCAAAAAGAAATGCAAATTAAACAGAAACGATTCCTTCTTCCCGCTTCCACCGTAGCGTAGTGTCATAGCGTAGTGTCACGCCCAGGTGCCCCCACAACTACGCTATGACACTACGCTGCCAGTGTCGCAGTGTCTTCTCCCACGGACCAGAGTCAAGCCAAACCCCAAGAAGCAGCAAACGTGAAACAAACGGTTCGTTCTCCCCCGCCTCGACCGCAGCGTAGTGTCATAGCGTAGTGTCACGCCCATGTGCCCCCCAAAATATGCTATGACACTACGCTAACCGTAGCGTGCTGTCATAGCGTAGTGTCACACCCAGGTGCCCCCAACACTGCGCTACAACACTACGCCAAGTGTAGCGTACTGTCATGGCGAGGTGTACGCCCAGGTGCGGCCCCAACACTACGCTATGACACTACGCTAACCGTAGCGTGCTGTCATAGCGCAGTGGCACGCCCAGGTGTCCCCAACACTACGCTACGACACTATCCTAAGCGCAGCGTGCTGTCATAGCGTGCTGTCACACTCAGGTGTCTTCAACACTACGCTCTGGCACTACGCTAACGGTAGCGTAGTGTCCTCTCTCACGGAGCAGAGACAAGCAACACCCGGAAGAAAGGCAAACGAAAAAAACGACTCCTTTTCCCCCCGCCTCAACCGCAGCGTAGTGTCATAGCGTAGTGTCACGCCCAGGTGTCCCCAACACTACGCTATGACACTGCGCTACCGGTGGCGTGGTGTCCTCTCTCACGAAGCAGATTCAGGCTAAACCCCAAGAAAAAACAAACGAGAAAAAAACAATTCGTTTCCCCCCGCCTCGACCGCAGCGTAGTGTCATAGCGTAGGTGTCACGCCCAGGTGCCCCCAACACTACGCTATGACACTACGCTGCTGGTGGCGTGGTGTCCTCTCTCACGGAGCAGACTCCAGCTAAACTCCAAGGAAAAGCGAACGAAACAAAAACGATTCCTTCTCCCCGCCTACACAGTAGCGTAGCGTCATAGCGTGTGTCACGCCCAGGTGCCCCCAACACTACGCTATGACACTTCGCGACCGGTATCGCAGTGTCTTCTCCCACGGAGCAGAATCAAGATAACCCCCAAGAAAAAACAAACAAGAAATAACGATTCGTTCTCCCCCGCCTCGGCCGCAGCGTAGCGTCATAGCGTAGGTGTCACGCCCAGGTGCCCCCAACACTATGCTATGACACTACGGTGCCGGTATTGTATCCTCTCCCACGGAACAGGATCAAGCAAAACCCCAAGGACAAATACACGACAAAAAAAACGACTCCTCCCCCACCTCCACCGCAGCGTACTGTCATAGCGTAGTGTCATACACAGATGCCCCCAACACTACGCTATGACACTACGCTAACCGCAGCGTGCTGTCATAGCGTAGGTGTCACGCCCACGTGCCCCCTAACACTACGCTACGACACTACGCTAAGCGCAGCGTACTGTCATAGCGTACTGTCACGCCCACGTGCCCCCAACACTACGCTATGACACTACGCTGCCCGTAGCGTGCTGTCATAGCGTAGTCACTCCCACGTGTCCTCAACACTACGCTTTAACACTAGGCTAACCGTAGCGTGCTGTCATAGCGTCGGGTCGCGCCCAGGTGTCCCCAACACTACGCTGTGACACTACGCTAGCCGTAGCATGCTGTCACACCCAAGTGTCTTCAACACTACGCTATGACACTACGCTACAGATAGCGTAGTGTCATAGCCAGTGTGCTTAAACACTACGCTATGACGCTACACTAGTGTTACTTTCTTCACGGTTGAAGGGTTCAAATTCATGGCGAAGATGAACCCTTACGGGCGGCCCAGCAAGGGCAGGGAGAGGAAAGGAGAGGGGCGGCTGGCGGGGGGGCGGTCGGGTCGGTGGTGATAGTGGCAGTGGCGGTGGTCATGGCGCCGTCGCTGGCCGCGGTCGTGGTCGTAATGCTGGTCGTCGGCGGTCGCGGCGGTGAATGTGCCGGCGGTGGTCGTGGTCGCGGCGTCGGCGGTCGTGGGGGTCGTCGTTTTCAGAGTCGTCGTCGTGGTGGGTGGCGGCAGTGATTGTCGTTCTGTTGGTGGTCGTGGTGGTCTGGGTTCTTGGATGTGGTAGCGGCCGCTTGTGGTGGCCATTGCGCAGGCGGTGGCAGCCGTGGACCGAGCGGAGGCGCGGGGCAGCTCGCCCAGCGCCCGAGCGCGCTTGGCAGCATCTCGGCGCTACCCCTTTGGAAGGTTCTGATGATCTGCCGCCAGCGGCTGCCCAGCAGCTCGGAGCGCTCGCCGTCGTCAGGGTCGGCGCCGTGGCTGCGGCGGACGAAGCTGGCGGCTTCGTCGCTGGGCCAGCCCCCTGTCTCGAAGACGAGGGGGGCCAGCTCGCCCCCAAGTGGAAGGTACCGCTCCCGCTTCTGTTCCACCATCTGGGCGGCCGCCAAAGCTTCCCTGCCTGCCCGGGCACCCCTGCGTGGAGCGTAGGTTGAATGTACACAGGTGGTTGCCCAGTCGACGTTGACGTGGCGCCCGTTGGCCTGGTCGTTGGTGGAGAGGCGGGGAGGTCGAGGACGGCTTGTTGCAGCACCCCAATGCGGGGGCGGCGGCGATCCCAGGAAGGGACGGCCTGCTCCGCGGGCGCCGCGAAGCCTGTGAGCTCCATGTGTTTCGCGGACTGCCAGTCGCGGCAATTGTTGTGGCGTTGGTTGCGCGAAGCGCCCACCTCGCACACGACTGCGTGCCAGCCGTGAGGGTCGAGGGCCTCCTTGCAGAGAGTTATATCCTCGGGCCGGCGTTTGCACCGGGAGCCAGGCGGGCAAACTGGGGCGCAGAGCCGCCGCTTGAGGTTGTCACAGATGTGCGCGTCTGGCTGGCGGGGGTCGCCCAGTTGGCGCGGGAGGAGCCAGCTGCCTGCTCTGGTGCCTCCGTTCTCTCGCATGCGGAGGCGGCGGTCCCTCTCGAGCATCTGCAACAGTTTCGCCCGGTTGGCCGTGGAAATGGTTTTCGCCCTGTGCCCCTGCAGCTTCGGTTGCGGGTCTGCGGTGCATCCGATCCAATCAAGGGGCGCCTGCAAAATGCCAGCAGCTTGGAGCGCCGCCTCTGCCTGGTCGAGCGTCCGTTGCGTCCGCGGGCAGCGTGCCCGGAACTCTTCCAGCGAGTTGGCCCCGAGGCACCTCATGACGTCGTGGAGCACGAGGGCCCAGCTGGCGGCGTACGCGGCGGGCGCCGCCAGGGTAGCCGAAAGGGAAAGCGCAACCGCTGTCAGCGAGGCGCAGCGTGGCTTGGAGGGTCCGCCGGCTAGCTGCTCGAGGCAGCCGAGGAGAACTCGGTCGAGCTGCTCCGTCCAGTCCCCCTGCAGATCGGCGTGGAGGTGGGGCGTGACACATCCCGCGAGCGAATGTCTGCAGGAGAGCGAACGCACTCTCAGCCCAGAGGCCCGCCTGCCGCAGGTCTTGCAGGCGGGCCGCAAACGCCACAGCCTTTGCCACGGCCGTGGTCCCGTTCATCCTCCCCTCTCCTTCCCTGATCGAGCCACGGGGCAGTGTTTCCCAAGCACGTGCGTGAGGTAGTCCACCTTCCTCCCTTCCTGCCGCCCTCCCTCCTCCCTTCTCCTCCTCCCTCCCTCCTCCTCCCTCCTCCCTCCTCCTCCTCCTCACCTCCCTCGTCCTCGTCCCCCTCCGCGGCCGCCTGGGCGCCCCGCTTCAGGAGCCCCTCCCCGATCACGCCCGCCAGCTCCCTCAGGAGCCCGAGGGCCGCCACCCGTGCACCGGCGTCGGACCCGGGCTGCACGAGACCCTCGAGCGCGGGCAGCAGCTGCGGCCACTCCTTCTGTGGCTGGGGCACACTCGTAGGCTGCAGCCTCTCCCCTCAGCTGCTTCTGCTGCTCCTCCTCCTCCTCCTCCATTCCTCCTTCTTCTGAATAACTCCTCCCTGTCGCACCCCAAGGCCAGTTTTTCGGACGGTCCAGGCGTTTCGCCTGAGACTTCTTCACCATTTATAACTCGGAAGCTTGAAAAGCGACAACAGCTTCACAGATGGAGGGCGGGTCGATTTCAAAATGTGGCTCTCGCCTAAGCGCCGCGCGCATTCGTTTCAAAAAATGGCAAAGAGTTTTACGGATCGAGGGCGGGTTGTTTTCAACATGTGGCTCTCTTCACAGATTGAGGGCGGCTCCTTTTCAATATGTGGCTCTCGCCTTCGCGCCGCGCACATTCGTTTTAACAATTTGCAAGAGTTCCAAGGATGTTCATCATCAACGTACCAGAAATGGTGTTTTGGACGGATTCAGGATTATGCGGGCGCAACAATTATGTTGATCCGCTGAGTTGAAGTCCCAAAAATGGCTTTCTGCCGCGATTCTGGATCGTCAAGACGCAGCAGTCAGGTTGATACGTGGCGCTGAAATCCCGAGAGCAATGTTTTGGCACGCTTCATGAGGCAGTTCCCTCAATGGAAATGAACCGCTGTAGTTGCCTATGAGGAGGGAGCTTGGAGGGAGGGTTAATTCCAACGTCGCTGATGACTCTTAGATTTCTACTGGTCCTCCTCCTCCTCCTCCTCCTCCTACTCCTCCTCCTCCTCTTCCTCCTCTTCCTCCTCTTCCTCCACAGACCTCCTCGCGTGGCGAAAAATCACGACTGGAGGTTTTTCGCTATTTTCGGCCTCTGGGGACCCTTACTGGGCCTCGGGACCGTTAAACAACTACCCAGGATGAAAAACTGGTTCCCGGGAAAGGGTCCAGGCCTCTGGGGGTCGACGTTGTGAAAAAATCACGACGACGGGGATCTGGGTCCTGCTCATCCACCACCTCCTCTTCCGATGTACGCAGCTCCCCTTCTGTGCTTGCGCATGATTCGATGGGATCCATCCTGCTGGGGGGTTCAGGTCCGCTTTGACACCCGGCGGCAGTTGGAGGAAACATCCGCGCAATGGGAAGGGATGGGTGGGAGGGGTAGGATGTCAGATACGGCGCGAACGCGCCTAGCTTGTCTGCCTCCTCTCCCTTCTACGCTCCCTCCTCTTCGATCCCGTAGCCGCTGTTGCTCAAGAAACTGTGGCTCAAGCACATTCTGGATCAAGAGATAGGTATCCAGAGAGCCAGGGCCCGCGCGCGCGCCCTTGTACCTGCACCAACGGCACGCCATTCCTAGACAGCAAGACGAAGGCAGCTCACGCAGCTCGCTTTACTGAGAACCGTTGCTGGTTGTAGAGAAGCAGTATAGCTACACATGTGCACGAGGGCTACCATGGAAAAACTTCGACAAAGATGCTCTACCCGCTGCGTCGGGAACCTGTCCATGGCTTCGACATCTCCGGAAGTCCCAGCGGCAAAGTCAATGCCCAAAGTGTCCTGCACGGATGCGTCTCATCAGTCGGCGTAGAAGGTGCTCAACAAGGTGGGAAGGAAGTCTAAACACTTGTGTCGAGCTCGTTATCTGCACAACATAAAGAGATCCAGGAAATAAATGCATCGCCAGTTGATGATACACCCTGGTCAAGCCAAAACGCTGGGGGAGATCAACAATGAATTCAATATATTTTGGCACCCAGTGCTTGAGCAAGCAGCTCGGCGAGGCTGGGGAAAATATCGGCCAGGTGCAAGACGGAAATGATACCACAATTCCGGGAAGGGCAGTGGTGATCGGAAAGGCCACGTGCCACGCAGCGTCGGAGGACGGCAACTCTAATGATCAGAGCGGCAGCTCAGTGTCTCCAACTCCACATGCAGAATCTTCTCCTTCGAATGATGTGCAGCGCAGTGTGGGAGGACCCTCACAGTCTTCCAGGCGCGTAGACCCCTGCGGCAAGTCCACCGACACCCGCTCGCCGCGGGTGAGAAGGCGTGTGATGGCGCGTGGGACACCTGCCTGTCCCGTCTGAGGGGAGGTGGCCGGCAAGGGCGGGTGGGCCCAAAAGGCCATCGAGTGGGGGCCCCAGGGGAGCCGGAGAGGCCCAAGAGGGGGAGCTCGAAGGGGCCCCTGGAGCCCAGCATGCCCCGAAGATGCCCCCAAGAGACACCCCAAAAGCGCTTCTTGGGCCCAAAGATACACGGGACCTTTGAAAAGGCTCCAAAAAGTCCGCCCCGAGCCCTCTTAAGAGGCGCCCAGAAAATGCAAGCTCCGTCAGAGACGTGGAGGAACAGGTGGACCAGCCAGGAACAACTACACCCAGGCAGCACGACGGCACGCCTCAAGCAGCATACACGGAGCCGGAGGCCGCACCCCCCCGGCGGGATTGCATTAAGCATCTTGAGTGGATTGCATCGCAAACCTCGCAGATATAGTATATTGGCTGCGGGAACTTGTATGGGGACAAATACAACATGTTTCCCAGAACTGCCAGGACAAGTCACGCGGTTAGCACACCAGATGTGCTCGTGAACCCGCAGGTTGCAGCAGGCTTGTTTGCTGGACTATCTCCGGCATCAGAGCCCAAGGTCGCACGCACGTAGATATAGCACTGTCAAAGAAATAAGGGATAGGGTGAGGAAGTGGGAGCGCTCAAGTCTCCACCTCTAGGAAACATCCCGGAACACGCCAAACCCAGAGGTCTCCCGACCCCCCACGGCATTCGCTGCGCATGGAAAACCAAGGTGACTCCCTCCCCCCCTCCCCCTTCCCCGCCCCTTTCCCCCCCTACTCGCCTCCAGCGTCCAGCGAAAGCAAAAGACGCATACGACGACGACGCCGACGACGACGGCGACGACCTCGGCGCCGGCGCCAGCACAGGGGGCGATCAACCTTCCCCCCCCGCTCGCCGCCGGCGAAGGACGTCTACGACGACGACGCCGACGACGGCGACAAAGTCAGCGGCGGCGGCGGCGGCGCACCAGGCGCCAGCGCCAGCGATGGCACAACGGGGGATGGATCTTCTCCCCCACTCGCCTCCGGCAAACCATCATCCTCATCCTCATCTTCGTCATCCTCCTCATAATCATCCATATCCTCATCAGCATGATCATCATCGTTTTCATCATCGCCATCATCATCCCCATCATCACAGTCATCATCATCATCATCATCGTCATCATCATCACCATCATCATCATCATAATCATCATCACAATCATCATATCACCATCATCAATATCAATATCGGCATCCTCCTCATCATCGTTGCCATCATCGTCATCGCCCTCCGCATCCTCATCATTGATATCGTTGTCATTGTCATTGGCATCCTCCTTCTGATCATCATAAACATCGGCAACATCATCACCATCAGCATTACCAACATCATCATCACCGTCATCGCCGTTATCACCATCACCATCATAACTACCCTCGTCGTCATCCATCGCCATGACCATCGCAATCATCGGGACTGGTGGGCGGGACATTAAAGTATGGTGCATGATCGAGTTGGCACGTGAGAACCCTCACGGGCGAACTTCTCGGGCGGGCGGACCCTAACGGGCAGGTCGGCTCGCATCATCACCATCATCATCATCACCATCACCATCATCATCATCATCATCATCATCAGCATCATCATCATCAGTATCATCATCACTACCATCATCATTACCGAAGCCAGCACCGATATCATCATCATCATCATCATCACCATCATCGTAATCAGCATCATCACCCTTATCTAGATCAGAATCATCATCATCAATAGCATACGTATCGTTACCATCATGGCCATCGTGATGATAATGATCATCAGCATCATCAGCATAATCGGAATCACCATCACCATCGACATCCTTATCCCGATCCTCACCCTCTCCCGCATCCTCAGCATCTTCATCGCCCTCATCATCCTCATCATCATCATCCTCATCATCATCCTCATCATCATCACCATCTTCACCATCGACACCGACAGCATCATGACCATCAGCATCCTCGACAGCATCATCAGCAGCATCATCATAACCATCACTACCATCATCAGCACTATCATCAGCCCTAATCTCGTCGTCATCGGCACAATCATCACCTTTACCATCTCATGATCATGAGCATCCACCTCATCATCAGCAACAGAGGCATCGTCATTCCCATCACCATCAACATCATAAATACAAACATCATCATCACACTCATCCTCCTCATCTTCATCATCGTCGCCGTCATCGTCGTCATCATCATTGTCGTCGTCATCATCGCCACCCACAGAATCATCACAATCACCATCACCGCCCTCATCATCCTCACCGCCGCAATCACCATCATCATCCTCATGATTAGATTCATCATCATCCTCATCGGCGTTGTTATCGTGATCATCATCAACAACATGTGCATCATCATTCTCATCGGCGTCGGCATCGCCATCATCAACATCGTCATCATCTTCGTACTCATGGTCAGAATCGTCCTCGTCATCATCAGCATCATCATCGTCATCGGCAACGTCATCGTCATTAGCATAATAATCCTCGCCCTCATCATCGTCTGCAGCATCCTCGTCATCATCAGCATAAAACCATCGTCACCAACATCATCGTCATCATCGCCAGCATCATCATTGTCATCGTTGCAATCGTCACCTGCATCGTCAACATCATCATCGTCGTCATCATCCTCATCCTCATCCCCACGACCTCCATCATCATTATCATCATCGCAATCGGCATCACCACTACCATGATCACAATCATCAACAATATCATCATAACTGTCATCATCATCACCATCATCATCATCATCAATATCATAATCAGCATCGTCACAATCACCATCGCCATCATCCTCGTCATCGTAATCATGGGCATCATTGCCAACACCACCAGCATCATCATCACCCTTTTTACCATCGTCATCGTCATCATCCTTATCATCATCATCATCATCATCATCATCATCATCATCAGC